GGGTCTGAAAGGACAACTCAAAACATCCAAAATAAAGCATGCATAACATTGGGACATTTGGGACAAGAAGAACATCAAAAGCTACCAAAACAAGATCTAAACAACTCAAGCATAAAGGTAGAAGCTTTATACGTCCTGAAGCTCCTAAAGAAGACGATAATCCCAGATCTACAAGCTTGCTTCCTTCTTTGACTCCTTTGACACACTAACTTCTCCTTCAACCATACAAGAAACACACCTATAACTCATACACACACATTAGAGGAGTTAGGGTTTGCTAAAATCGATCCCAGAACTTGGAGGTTGAAAAGATAGGGGAAAAGGGCCATAATGATGTTTAAATACTCCACAAACCCTAAAAGTTAGGGTTTCACCCATACACTAGCATGCCCAGTGTACATATGTGTACGCCCATGTACTCCCAGCATACTACTTATGCTCCAGAAGTTACCATTTTGTCATTAGGGCTTTCCATGGCTACTCCTTTACAATCCAAGGACTAAAAATGACATAATTACAACCCAAGGGATGAATTTGAAATTACTTGAAGATTGGGGTGTTATAACTCTCCCCCACTTAAACTCTATTTTGTCCTTGAAATCATTCTTTACCATCCCCCGGCATGCCTGACATCCTATGGGTCACACCCACAACCTTGATCATACCATGACCTTCCCAAGGCAACCAAACTCAACAGAAAGTTTCCAACTCGAAGAAAGCAAATCCATATTCCTTTGCAGCAAACCAACCCTACTTCACAAGAAAATCTGCAATCTAGAATCTCGAATTTGGTCTGACTCCCCGACAGACCGCCCATACCAACCGTCGCTACTTCTATTCCCCTTATCCCCTAAACTGACTACTCACCCTGAAAACCAGAGGTTCCCACCAGAATAACAGAATCACAAATCAAATGTTGTTGCCTATAATTCTTTACTGTACAAAAGAGATTAGATATTCTTTCAAGAGAAAGCTCATTCAGATGACCAAATTTCCAGGGATATACTGAACAACGGGAGACAAACTGGGAGATGACCCTTTTTAGTGATGACAGAACAATGCCCCCTTTAGCTCCAAAACCAACATAAATATAACAACCAACTAACAAGTACAATCACTCATACCTGGCCCAATCAGCCTCGAGCTGGAATACCAGACATGCCTACGATGGGTCCAGCCACCCAGTTCCCAGAACCTGGAAGACATAGACATTCTAACCCAAACAACCTTCAATTACATCATTGTGATGACATTAAACCTTCCTCCTGGAACACGTGACTCGTACCTCAAACCAAATGGTTCTCCACTTACTTCACAGTCTCCCAATATACAGACCTTGCAAGGATACACTCATAATTCCCAATGCAAGTTCCCACCATGAGCCATCCCGAAATGGCCATCCATGAATCCACCCCAAGTCTATGACTGAAGATACCAAAAAACATGCAGAAAAGATCCTCAAAACAAGTTGATAGTGAACCTCTCCCAATCTGAATCCATATGATGCACCAAAACCTTAGAATAACCTTTAACTCTCTACCATGCCATTACCAACCTCTGAACCGACGAGAGAAGATGATTAAACCAAGAATTTCTGCATTTCATCTAATCCCTAACAACAACTTGTGAACAAATAGAAATACGGAGCAAACATTCCATAGATTCATTATGATACCTGACTGGTACTCCCAATAACCCCTAATTGCTCCCTAACCAAACCAATCGATTCATAGGTCTTCCGATCCTCATCAACGCGTCAAAATTGAGAGTATCACAAATAGATGAAATGAATAATCATGACCATTAGGCCCCCAAACCATGAATATAATACCCCAACCAGGTCCTCAGCATAGGACCAGATTGCCGCCAAGCCCACACCATGAGTTTGGAATGCCCTCCCCGACCCTCAGCCCATTTTTGGAATGCTCCCGATTTCATACCAACCTTGTCGGTATTACAACATTCTCCCAACACTTCGTTCAAAAGATACTCACCTCATTCTATAGCCTTGAAGGGAACTAAACAACATTTCTCATAATCATCAATTGAGTACAACAATGTTGCAACCTTACCACACCCTATTGCCATCACAGAGAAAGCTACTGCCCAAGCAAAATCTTGCGAAACCATTATCGCACACAACCTGAGAATAGGATAATGGTCGAACTCTTAACCCAATTCGAAGGCTAAATCCCAATAGAACCATGCACATTCTTAGGAAACCTAAACCTCATCTAAAAGGGAAGAATTTCCCGAGGAAAATCAACACACCACTTCCATCAATAACAGAAGACATCCTCATCACCGTTCAAAACAAGATCCCATAATTGATTAAGAATGAATGGATCCTACCAACACGAAACTAGCTCGAGAATACTTCCAAGGCGATCTCAAAGGTTGCCAAACCTGAGTTTGCTATGAAGCAGAATTCCACTGCACCATTAAGGGTAAACATACTCAAAGACCGAGGGAACATAAACACACTGTACAGGAGGGACTGTGACGCATTCCTTGCTCTTAATTGTCACCTCTTGAATCCTTTGGAGAATTCTTGTTGAAAGACGAACTAAATGACCAACGGCCTAGGACACCTTGACACCTAAAACAGAGAACCACTAACCCAACTGGAGCTGAACATACCTGCTTCTAGAAGGGTTCACCGATCAACATCTGCCCAACAAATCTGAAAGCAACAATCTGAACAGCAACTAACAAAATTTTCAATGACTGACACTTAACCTGAGAATTCCCAATTCACCCCCACATAGAACACTAACCACCATCCACTAGTGGTGAAACCAAACCATAACTTAACCGACCCAACCAGGTACAACCATTTATGGCCATGGAATGAACAACATACGCAGAATGATCCTCCCACTTATAACCGCTTACAAGCATAGATAGCTACCACTCTACGAGCCAAACATACATTCCTTGCTTGCAATCCCAACGACGATCCGACACCTTACCTTCCCATCTCCCAAGAATATGGGTCCTTGCTCGCATCACTAAGGTACTCAGATCACTTCAATCCATCTACGCACACCGGAGATGACATATTGTCACCAACCACTGTGACCAACATACCCCAAGCTGAGAATCCAACCTAACTCGGGAGGTCACAAGCCTAACTACTCCTTCTCACTCGGAAAAATTGAAGGGCAAGATCCTTGCCACAGATAATGACAATCTATTCCAACAATCTGCCACTTAAATCCCAAATGTGATTTCCAAGTCGATCATATCAACCACTTCCTCCCCGTGTCTTGAGGCTCAAGGCCTGGCTAACCCTCCAAACTTCCAACCAACATACTCACATGGTTATGAACCACTCAATCCACATCAATATCGCTATATGGGCCTGAACAAACACAAAACCCATCCTCGCCTGAGCAACCCGAAGCCAAAAGATCGACAGATACGGAACCACTGTCTCGAACAATGGTATCCGACCATGCTATCTTCCCAGAATAGTCCTTAGAATCCATGAAATCCTCCTTGAATCGAGTATGGATCCTATTCTTTCAGTAGTATGGGCCCAATACTACCTTCCACATCTCTCCATACTTTCCTCAAGAATCATATCAGATCCTCTAAAACCTAGTCATAAAATACTCCTAAAACTTGCTCAACAGCGAACATCTGCACTGAAAAAAAAAATTCCCTAGGCTATCCTAGGGTTCCACACTTCTCTTCCTTCAGCTTTTGAAGAATTCCTCACAATGTCAATTAGACATTCCATAAATACAATCACATGTGACAAAGCTCAGATAATCCTTCGAGTAACAGACTCATCCCTACAATGAGTTTTTCAAAACCACACAAAACATAGTTTCACATTTCTCAAACCCAAATTTATAAGTTGTTCAAAACACAAGACAACAAAATGTTTGACAATATCCCAGAATCCTCAAAACATAATCTCTAGCTGGTGTGTACAATCATGTCGGCGCCTTCCCGCGATCCTGAGATGTACCTGAAACACATTTCACACAACACTGTAAGCATAAAGCTTAGTGGGTTCCCCAAAATATCACACACAAATAATTATGCTCTCATGGCTATATCTCGATAAGGACCCTTCGATCATGTGTCTCAGTGAAGACCCTCCGGTCTCACAACTCGAGTTGGACCCTCCAGTCCGATATCTCATTGAGGACCCTCCGGTCTCACAAGACGTTAACCTTTTTGTGATTTCAGAAAGAAAAAAAAATTCACAGAAATCTTACCTGCACTGGAGGTTGTCGCTGGTGCAGTGGAGGTCGTCGTCGGCGCTATGGAGGTCGTCGTCAGAGGAGATGGCTGGAGGGGAACTCGCTGGTAGGAGTTGTTGAGGATGAGCCGACTATCGATGGATTTTGCTAGAGCGTGTTTCGTTTTAGGGATACAGGGAAGGTAGGGGAGGTGAGGGCATATAAGGGAAAAAAAGGTTGTGGGTTTTTTATTTTCCAGTCAGCCACTTTTTTCTGGAGTACCGAGTAAGAGATATGGATCAACATTGATGACGCAGTCAGCTATAATTTGCAACTATCAAACATCCAGATTGTTGACTGAGTCAGCACTGACCGGACCCGGTAAGTTCAAATCAAACAACCCCTTAGTGGTTATTTATTAACCTCTTAATTTTTAAAATAAACGACAAGTTCTTAATTTTTCAGATTTAAAGTGTCTGATAGACTCTTAAATTTTTACCTCTTAATTGTTTCAGTAATCTCTTAATTTTTAAGAGAATGAGTTGTATCTGAAATAAAAATAATAATAAACATGTTTCGGAAATATCCCAATTTTTTAGCAAATATTTTTTCATCCCACTGCTTTACTTATGTGGGATGAAATAAAACTATTAACTCATTTGTTAACTTCTTCCAAACACCTTTTTTTAACATATAATTTCTTATTAATCTTAAATCTATTTTGGACGTTTAACATATCAACACGAAAGTATCATGTAAGAGAACATCGACATACAACCATTTCCTATTTTAGTAATATACAGGGTTTGAATTTCATACTAAAAAAATGGGACAACTCAATTTTGAAATTGGTTAAAACCAATCTTCAAAAAGTTATATAGGTGATGCATGGAAGGTTTCACGGTGATCATGGTAAATTGAATAGTATTTGTTTATATCCAAGGTACTAGTATTATCAAGTTAACGTGACTTTTTTTTAGGGGATTGCCTTTTGTCCTTCTTATATCGTTGATATTGTTCATTGCGATCCAAGAGCTCTGAAAGACATTTTATGTGGATTCAACAATCTGGAATGCAAGGTTTCCCGTCATTTCATAGAAATGTAATGTACATAAAATAAGGACTTTTTTTGCTTCGACTCTATGCCCGTTTTGTTGTTTAGCGGATGAATAGATTGATCATATTTTCTTCCCCTATGAATTTGTTGCCTCGGTTTGGAAATGGATCATGGAGTGGCCGACTTTTTATCTCACACCCTTCGTTATGTTCGAGTCTCTTGGGGTTGATGAATTCAGGAGGTGGTAGTAAAAGTGTTGAATTTCAGATTATTGATTACGTAAGCCTCTTTTTTTGTTTATTTGGAAGACCCACAATGATGCTATTTTACGGAATAAAAGACAAGATGTTTTACTTTTAGCGGATGATATCAATATTAACACTTTTAATTGGATCACTCCAAGTTTTGTAACCTTGATTGATATGTTTGGTGTATGTCTTCTACTTTGATCTTTTGTTGTATTTAACTTGAGCATCTCTTTAATCTTTTTTTATTTTTGTGTTAATAACAGTTTTGCTTGCCGTGAAACAAGTTAAAGTAAACTTAAAATGTCAATCAAAATAAAATAACCAAATATACTTTGAATCGTAGTTTAATAATCGATTTTCTATTAACTCATTATTGGAAATTTATTTTAATATTGCTGTTTTTAAAGAATATTTGTTTCATAACTTATTACAAACAATACAAAAATTTGTGCAGTGGGAAAAGAATATAAAAATGCGTACAAAACCAATAATGGCGACAGTTGAGTGGTTCGTTTTTGAGGTTGATATGGTGGAGAATAATGCCGGTTACGCGTCACCGGAGACTCCAACCGGTGGCCGCAGTCTCCGTTTTCTTTAATTCAAATCTGTAAGTCGGTGTCTCGGTTACCGACATTTGCTTTGGTCTCATCACACATCCAAGCGCCTGGTGCACCACGTGACCTTCACTCGCTACTATATTTTCTTACAGGCCCGTCATGTTTTCTAAAGTTTAACTTTTGGGCAAAGTACTTTTTCTTTTTTTTTTTTTTTTTTTTTTTTTTTCAATTACTGTTCCTATATTTTAGTTATTTCCTTGTCATATGTATCTTTGCTTTCAACTTTCACTTTTTTTTTTTTTTTTTTTTTTTTTTTTTTTTTTTTTTTTTTCAAAATTGGTTTAAATTAAAATACACCAACAGAGGAAGACGAAGAAGGAGCAATAAAAGCAAACTTCCGCTTTCGCATCTTACAGTTTTACACATCAACATATACAATCGAAACCAAAATGTTGCAAGGAAAGAAGACTTACTAAAAAGGAAATATATAGAGACATTAGAAGATGGCCGAGGACAAACCTGGAAAGAAAGCGAACGATCCTCCGAAGAAGAGCAAAAAAAAACAGAGGTGTTGAAGGTAAGGGGTGGGGAAATCGTTGATGACAACATGGAAGGGGAAGGAAAAACAAACACGTAGAAACCAATTTAAGAAATCAAACCATGTGTAATCCACTATGACCTGCAGTAAAAAAATCATTAAAGAAACACAAATGAAGAAAATATACATCTCAGCCAATAAATCCAATGAAATCCAAAAACTGTTCAAGTGGCAGTTCTAAATTAGTAAGTATATAAATTAATAATATAATTTTACTGTTTGATGATGTATAATTTAATTACTTGTTTTTTAGATTTATAATGAGGAAGTTGTTTGTAATGTGTCCACAAATTAATTGTGTAAGTGTTGAAATTTGGGAAATCGAGTAATATAACTCTCATTATTATTATTTTTTGGTAAAATGACCATTTGTTCCGTAACATATAATTCCAAAGTTGTAGTCTCCGTTCTAGTGTGTGTGTATTCGAGTGTGTATGTGTCCATATATGCTTAGAGCCTTACCTTCAACAAAATATTTCGTAATTACCTCTTATAAAATTGCTTCAAAATGAGTTTCTTAGACAATCGACACAAAGAAATCTTTAACAATGTGCATAAAAGTATTATCTCTTAGTAATCTCAATTATATTAAAATACAATTAAAAAACCAATGTATATAAAAGTATCTAATAATAATAAGAAAAAACATCATAAATGGTCCATGTGGTTTCCCAAAATCTGGAGTTTAATGCCCGTGGTTTAGAAACGTCATAACTAGTCCTTGTATTTTCAATAATTTTGATAGTTGGTTCTTATCCCTCACACCGTTAGAACCCCACCGTTAACTCTTATTTCATTAAAATAATATAAAGGTAAATTGGTCTTTTCATGTGTTCCCTCTTCTTTAATGAGGGAAATGATTATGCTATGGTCTTCTTCACGTCTACTCCCAAACACTCTTCATCTCCCAGGAGTATAATGACTTCATTTTCAGCAAATCAATGTCATCCAAGACACGAAATTGGGGTTTAGGGTTTACACAACAATAAAGGACAGTGGTTAACTCAATATGGTGTTTATGTGAAACAAATGTGTGCTTGAATGACTTGCAATCCAGATATGGTAAGATTTTTCAAAAAAGAAAAAGAAAAAAAAATTATGTTTTTTTTCATTGAATGTATTCATGAAGATAATTCATCTTAGTTACCTTGTCTATTTTCGTGTTTGCAGAGGGATATGACAACTATTTCACATTGAAGATACACTATAGTGGTGTCTTCACCAAATCACCTGGAAGGAAATACGTCGATGGTATTATATCATACATAGATGACGTTGACATTGATCTATTTTTGGTCCATGAACTCGATGACATGGTTTGACGATAAGCATACTGTCACACCCTCGAACCAGAATGGCAGAAACGTCTGGAGGCGGGTGACATCATTGTGTAGTATCATAACAATTACATATAAATGAAACACAACAACACCAAACATCATACAATAATATAACCAACTTAAATTGTTTTACATCGTGTTTATGTTCTCAAATATTACACAAAAGAGACATTAGTAAGCAAATCCCAAAATACATCAAAATAATTTTGAGTCCGCGATCCATAATCTGCTTAATGGTTTCCTGAGAATATAGGTCATTTGAAAAACGTCAACATAAAATATGTTGGTGAGTTCATAAGCATTTGCGTATAAAAACTTTGATGATAGTTTAGGAATCCAGAAAATCCAATATTTTCTTATCAAATAGTTGTAAGTCTTCTTTCAAATCTAGTATAGTTACCTGTGTGTCTTAAATCATCGTTTTCGAAATTGTACAAATTGTTTCCCCATAAAATCTTATATTCTCTAATGTGTAAAATAGTAGGTTTGGTAGAAACATAATACTTGTGTGGAAAAGTCTCATTGAGGTAGTCAAAATAGTTGATTTTTAACCGAGGGTGAAATGTGTATAAATACGTTTCTGGTGTATTTTAGTGAGTCGCTATAACCATACTAATATGACAGAGTACCTGTTATGATGTTCTTCAAGAGTCGGTTTTGTTCAAAACATTTTTCACCGTAGATTGGCCGGTCTAGCTATAACGAACATCGAAGGTGCAGGGTGTCAACCCCGTATAGATCTATACATACATTCCCGCTCCCCCTCCAGGAAACTCTCGTTATAACCCTTACAGGACTTAAGCGTACACTATTGTATGTAATATATGTATTGTGAATATTCGTCTAACTAGAATACTAACCGTTCTGAGCAAATCATTGAAATCCATTATTTACTAAATAAATAATAATAGTCGTACTTGTTGACTGGATATTTTGTTTCGTTTCGTTTGTTGAAAATAATCCGCTTTAAATATTTATCGTATTTGATTCAATATTAGCGAAGTCGGCTAA